AAATACTTTTGGTCATTTTTTATTTAGTCAAAATTTTAGACATCCTCTCTCAATAAAGATTCCCTTTTTGCCACCTACGAAGATTTTTATTTCGGTGTCTATAGGGTTTCCTGAGAAAAATGCAATTCATTATTCGTTTTCTATACAAATTTTCCTCTGGTCATCTCATACGAGTCTTCTGGGGTCATCTATAGACACTCCCATTTGGTAGTACAGGGTGAGATAAAAAAAATCTGCAAAATAGTCAAACGCCATAATTTTTACAATTTTGTTTTTAAATTTGCTTTCCAAAATACTCCTGACACAATAGTCCAACGGATTAATATCCGGAAATTTGGTGGCAATTGTGCGCTGGAAATTAAGCGAGGAACCTCATTTTGTAACCAATCTAGGGTGGCGCGTGCTGAGTGAGATGGTGCTGAGTCCTGTTGGAATGTCCAAGGTCTGCAGCCAAAATATTTGCGTACTCAAGACTTAAATACACCATCCAGAATATTTTCGCGATAATATTCGGCATTTATTCTGATGCCACGGTCGAATAATACCAGCGGAGAGCGGCCATCGGCTGTTATGGCGGCCCACACCATCTCCATGGCACATTTTAAGCTGACCTCTTTGGCAAGTAAACACGATTATTTAGTTTTGTTGTTGTTTACAAACTGCTGGACAACGAATATTTTCGGAATGTCATCGGGGAAAACCCAATTGGGCACTTCACCACTTTCGGCCAAGCGAAGCAACACTTTAGCTTTTTTGGAGTCTATGTTCTTTCTGTTGCGGTGTAAGTTCTGGCACTTTTTGGAATTTTTATGGCTTTACCCCGAGCTCATTTTTCAATATTTGCCGAATGGAATATTGCGATATGTTCAGCTCACGAGCCATTTTTCGGCCACTGCGACGCGGGTTTCGATCAAGTCGCTTCTTTATTTTTTCTATTTTGCTCACCACTGCTCTAGACACCCAAATCGTTTTCTCCTAATTTGGAATATTTTTCGAAATGAAAATTGTTCCGCAGTGTAATTTGCATTTCATTTGGGAACACTTCGAACAATGTTTGAACATGGCTTCAGTGTCTCATCAAACTCAACATGTTTTGTTTGCATTTGACGAACCTGACCAAAACAATTGTGTCTGTTGCAACATGTCGTAACAAAAACACAAAACTCATACCCATAGATGCGGGATGTTGCCATTTTAAGATATTCACATACAATCAAATTGGTCGAAATATGGCCCTCATGGCACTCATGTAACGATAACAGCAGAATTTATGCATTCTGAGATGCCATGCCCCATATTCCAAATTAACTGAATATAATTTTAATTTTGCTATTGGACGGATGCTTATGGCGAATCAGAAGTCAATTTTATGGTAAAGATAATTTTTATTTAATTTCCCACGTTTTTATGGAAAAGTTGGTAAATTTCAACTTAAGATGCAGGCAGCTTTTTTACTGACTTAAATCATCGGCTGGCTACTTCGTTAAAGAGCATGGACTCGTAGGGTGAAGAAGTATAAATGATGGGCCAAAATCAAACTAAGTGAACTTAAAAATTCTTTTACGAAGATGCCAGCCGATGACTTAAGCCAGTCAAAAAAAAAAAAAAAAAGCCTCTTACGTACTCTTACCTTAAGGAATCCCAAAAATTGTAAATGTTCCAGAATCCATATAGCAGGTATTGTACAGATTTTGCCAATATTTTCAGTCGGTTATTCTAGAGTTTTGATCCTTAAGGACTGGCTTAAAATAAAACGGCATTCAAGGGCTACACAAAAACTAACAGCACCAAGAAGATTTACTTAAGATGAAGGGTTTAACATTTCTTTTAAATTTAATCATAAGACAAGATAAATAAAATTCGTCTTCCTAAGATATGGAACATATAACTGTTTTTATGTGCCTAGAAACGCCGAAAATAATATATTATTAATTATTTTTATAAAATATGGCACTCGTCATTCGTAAATATTTCAGATATGAAAAAAGATTTATTTGAAATACTTCAGAAAAGGTTTGCCGTATTCGATTTAGTGAACGAAACTACCTCTATTGTTTTGCCATGATTACTGCTTAAATCATAAAAATACCGAATATAGGAAGTTACCGTTATATTGGGGCCTATACGAAGATGTGCACCTGCCTAGACAATTTTTTGTCAAAGACTGTAGTTCCCATATAAACGTATAATACAAAGCCTGAAACAATTCCGGTGGGTAATGTCGCTAAAATATAAAATGTATACTTTGAGGCGTTACAAGCAATATGACAAACTTAATGTACCCTATATATTATGGGGGAGGGCATAAATATATATTATGGGGGAGGGTATAAATATTGTTATTGGAAATTTTCCCTTTTTTAATTTCCTCGGCATGATTTTTATTCATTATCCAATATTTCAACCATCGTTGATTATGTTTTCGTAGCCCTCATTTGACATTCAACTTAAATGTCTCAGCAAATACTAGCTGTATTTTATGAAAATATCTCAATCCGTTCAGAAGTTATACGCATTTAACGAAACTGCCTTATTTTCTGGTATATTCATTTAAATTGGTCGCAGAAAAAAATAAAACCGTTATGGGAGCACTGTTAATTTAAATCTGCCTATCTAAACAAAATATAATACCAATCAACTGTTCATATATTTGGCCATACTAAGTGTGAATTGGTATTTGCTTTGTTTGCTCTCCCCTCACTGATTAACTCTGCTCTCTTCTTGAGATTTTTCTTCTCTTTTACTCGATTTATTTATTTTTTTTTGGTGGGTTGTCTCATTATAATTTGTTGAGAGAATGCTTAATATGTTAGCTGTCCAACAAAGGAAAAATCATGAAAATATATCAATCCGTTCAAAAGTTACATGCATTTAACGATACTGCATTATTTTCTGGTATATTCATTTAAATTGGTCGCAGAAAAAATAAAACCGTTATGGCAACACTATAAAGTTAAGGCGGTCTGTCTAAACGAGATATAATACCAATTAACTGTCTACACATCTGGCCACACTGAGTGTGCATTGGTATTGGTGTGTGTTTGTTTTGTTATGGTTTTGCATTTGATTTCTTCCCTCTCCCCCCAATGATGAAAATTGCTCTCATCAAGATATTGCTTTTTATTCTCTTTTACTCATTTGATTTAATTTGTTTTTTTTTTGGTGGGCTGTCTGTTGTCGTCGGACCCAGCGTGACCGTTGTGCCACTAAAGTATCAATTTTGCCACCTTTTTTGGGCTTTGATACCTTTGTGCCACTTTTTTATTTTGATCCTAAATGAGCCACTTTTTTGAATTTTTGTGCCACTTTTTTATACATTGTGCCACCTTTTTTTAAACTACGTATATTTTAATCTAAATGCTGTATTTAAAACAATAAAATGAAATGAAACAATGAAAAGCGTCGTACGCTGCCATTTCCAATTTGCGATAGCAAATTTCAGAGCGAACGCTCTTATATTAGGTGTTTGTAAGTGGTTTTCGCATGCTCAAAGTTGTCAACATTGTTCTTTTCTTTCAATTTTTAATTACTTTACTACAGCCTATGACAGAAAATTGTCTGTGCAGGTCCTCGTATAGCCCCCATATAACGGTACCCCCTGATATTCGGTATTTTGGTGATTCTAGCGACATTATTTACCGGAATTGTTTCAATTTTCGCATTTGAAGTTCGTAATGGATATTACAGCCTGTGATAGAAAATTGTTCGTTCAGGTCCACGTCTTCGTATAGCCCACATATTACGGTACCCCGATATTCAGTATTTTGTTGATTTTAGATGCAATTTTTACCGGAATTATTTCAAATTTTGTATTTGATGTTCGTAATGGATACTACATCCTGTGCCAGAAAATTGTCTGTGCAGGCTTATGACAAAAGTTGCGTATGCAGATCCACGTCGTCGTAAAGACCCCGGCTACATTCGGTATTTTTAAGATTTTCACAGAATTTTTAATGGATTTTAGTTTTTTGAAAATTGCCAAATTTGTACCATATGGTGGAGGGTATTCAAAGTTCGGCCCGGCCGAACTTACAGCTTTTTTACTTGTTATACCCTACACCACAAGGTGGTCACAAGGAAACGTGATAGACCCATAGTCCCTTTTGATGATCTGCATAGAATCACATTCTGATTCGATTTGTGCATGTCCGTCCGTCCGTCTGTCTGTTCATGTATTTTTGTAAACAAAGTGCAGTTCGCATTTATTGCCCTATCCAGATGAAATTTTGTACAAATCATTTGTTTGGCCCAAGGACGAAGTTCAGGTTTGGATATAGCTCCCATATGTAACTTCGTCCGATTTACCTCTGATTGTTCACCAAACGTCTAATATTTGCCCAAATTGGATAAAATTTGGCACTTACGACCGAATTGAGTCTAGAAGCTAGTATGTCAAATTTGGTGTAGATCGGTTCATATATAGCTATAGCTCCCATATATATATATTTGTCATATTTGTTACCCCCAACCGTAATATGCACTCCGTAACAACCATATTCAGGGAAATATATCTAATACAGCTCAGAAATAACTTTTGCCAAATTTTATCGAGATCGGTTCCGATTTGGATATAGCTGCCATATATATCTTTATCCGATTTCAAACTAATTGTGAACCAAATGGGCAATACAAGTCCGAATTTAAAAGATACAAATGCTTCGGCATATTTAGTCCTTTGAACTTTAAATTATAATTATAATCATAGCGTGTATGATTTAGTTCTCCCATAAAAACTTTTAATTGTTATGCGGAGCTCTACTAAATTAGCTTTCTTTACTGGTTAAATATGCAATATGTATATACATATATTATTACTATATAGTATTACATATAGATGAATTTGTTGTTTTGTTCTAAACTGTTATTTTTTAAATAAAATGTGAAATAAGTTGTGCCACTTTCTGTGCCACCATTTAAAATGATATGTGCCACTTTTTTCAAGAAATGATACTTTTTGTGACACTTTTTGAAAATTTCCAGCGGTCACACTGGTCGGACCGGTTTTGTTCGTGGGCAACAATGTTCGTGCTGTGTGTGTTGAGCTGCTATTGTTGTTGTTGTTGTTGGCATTTGAATAACAACTTGTTTTCGTTGGCCATAAACAAGTTCGAGCGTGGTGTTTTGTGGTAATGTTTTGCTTTGGAGCCGGTTTCAGTATGAAGTTGTGTGACTCTACAGCTAGTTTGATGCAACATCAAACCCAGCAAGATTTTATTTTCTTTCATTGCCCCTCATTCGCATTGCATTTGTTTATTGTTGTCTGCTTTTAGTTGTGTTTGAGGATTTGAGTTGTTGAGGTTTGGAGCGCGCACGAGTTACAATTTTGTATTTTGTCCATTAAAAAATAGCCGCGTCCGCAACGGTTTGTTTTGAAAAGAAAACCCTAAATCGCAAAATAAGAAAAGAAACGAAAAGGTTTAACGAAAGAAAGGAAAACAAAACACGCCAGCCAGCCATTACGGTTTACAAGTGTCAAATGCGCGGCGTGATTTTGTTGTTATTTGAGTGAGACAAAATAAAACAGGCAAAAATAAAAAAAAAATATTGAAAAGAATAAAATTATAGTTGTCGGAAAAGAGAATTTGGCAAAGAAATTAAAGAAAAAGGAAATTGTTTATAAAAAAAGGAAATTAAAAAAGTAAATAAAGAAAGGTGTGCACAAAGCATAGATAATGAAAATGATGTGCTAAACATGAGTGATGTTAATAACAACAACAACATCTGCAAAAATAATGAAAAATGTGCAAAATTAGCAAAAAATTCTTGAAAATGTTTTGAAAAATAAAAAAGAAAAAATAATAAAATATTTAAAGAAAATAACAAAAAAATCAAGTGAAAGAGGAAAAAAATTATTAAATGAGTGATATTCCCCCCTCTAATAACACGACGGCACTCAACATGTCCCGTGAAGAGGAGGAAGAGGAGGTGCGCACTTTGTTGGAACGCCATCAGGAGCGTATACGCCTGGATTTGGGCAACACAGATTTGTTGGCGGTTTTGGTGAAAAATTCCGTTCTCAGTCAATCGGAGGAGGATTTGTTGCTGAAACCCTATAATGCGGGTGGTGGTGGTGGGGGCCAGAACTCGGCACCCTCCAGTGTGGGCGTGACAAAACGTAAACTCAGTGCTGTGATTAGCAACGCCAGCAGTGGTACCACAGGAAGTACTGGCGGCAGTAGTACTGCCAGTGGTGGCGGTACCACCACTGGTATTGTTGGCATTGGCGGCCAATTGTCACGCAGCGCCAGCATCAACAGTGACCATCAACAGCAAACGTCTGCCAGTGTCACGGCCGGGGATAATCGTTCCATCACCCCCTCCGTTCAGGGTGTAACTCTAAATTCGGCCGATTCCATTAGTGAATCGGCATATTCGACCAAGGATGAATTGAAATCGGATACCTATAATGATGCTGATATTCTGCGCATGCAGTGCTCGACTCTGATCGAGATCATTGCCAAGAATGGTTTTGAAAAATTCAAACAATTCTGTTATGCCATCGAAAATGAATGCCCACAGCTGATTGAGGATTTAATTAATGATCGTTTAAAGTGTGGTAAGTAATTGGATAGTGGAAATTAGGAAATTAGGGTTGCCGAGGCATTATTTGTTGGAACAAATCTAGTAAAACCTCTCGGAGTTTTTTTTTAAAAATTTTTCCAGAGGTTGGTCCTGATTCCGGAAATATAGTTTTTTATGTTGTATATGTGTTTCCATCAGTTTTAAAATTATAGGGTTTGTTAGATCCGGGCCTAACTTTGTTCTTGGCTCCTTTCGGGTCAAATATCTCGGCATCCAGGTCCGTCCTCTAAAGAAAAATACTTTCCCGGAATTCCGGATGGATTTTAACCAATTTTTTAGGAAGTTTTTATGTGGGATATGTGTTTCCATTAATTATTAAATTATACGATTTGCCAGATCCGGTTCTAACTCGGTTTTTGGTTTCTTTCGGGTCAAATATCTCGGCATCCAGGTCCACGCCGTAAGGAAAAATACTTTCCCGGAATTCCGAATGGGTTTTAGCTAATTTTTTTAGGAAGGGTTGGAAATTAAGAAAATTTTTAAAACCTGAACAAGTTTGTCAGATCAAATATTTATACCCTCTACGATAAGGATAATCGATAAACTCATTTTCTTATGTTTGTTGGCAGATTTTGCTTTGAAAAGTCAATATTAAAATCAAATTATGGCTGAAAAAATCGAAAATCTCGTCAAGCATTAATTTCAGTGCCCAATCTCAAAAGGACGTCCCTAGCTCCAATTCCCAAGCTCATGGAGACATGAGCTCTTGCTCCACTGACAAAAAAAAAAAAAATAAAAATTGGCCTCTCCAAATTTAAAAGCCAGGCAGACTGTCTTCCTTGCAAATTATTATTTTTGCTTCCTTTTTTTGTCAAAGCTAAAATTTTTTATGGCGTCATTTTGAAAATGCAATGGCAACACTGCATAAAGATACAATTTTATGTTGGCTGTTTGGTTTTCATTTTTTCTTGAGCGACTTGATATTGACTTGAGCTAGTTTGTCAGCTTCTGTGACAGATCATTACTCAAAATTAAGCCATTATGCAAACTAGTTTTATTTTTTTCGCCTTTTTTAATTCCATCGTCGTTTTGACCAATTGATTGAGCTTTGAACTTCGTTGGCCGCAGTATCACTTGGAGATTTGCATGGCAATTATAATCTACAAATAGAGATAAATGTTGTTATTACTAAAAAACTGCATACTTCCTTCGATTTGGAACATGAAAAAGAATGTTCTTGCAGTCTGTGAGCTGAACCGGATATTAGTTTTGATATTTAGGAGCATTTTCGAAATTGTTATGTTGGGCGCCACTTGTTTAAAAACTCCAAGGAGCAGCAATGAAAACATTTTTAACCGTTTCTTCCTGGTAGCGGAAGAATAAATCTCTATTGAAAATTGATCACGTTGGGCGCCACTTTGTTAAAAACTCCGAGGAACAATAATAAAAATATTTGCAACCGTTTCTACTAAGTAGTAGAAGCATAAATCACCTGTGGAAATTATTCACGTTGGGCGCCATTTTTTTAAAAGTTGCAGGGAATAATAATGGAGAGATTATGAAGCATTTGGACAAAGTTAGAAGAATTATAGCCACCCTCTTCAAATTTACCAACTTGGGCGCCACTTTCAACCGGATTTTCAATAGCAGAAAGATTTAATATTTCTTTTTTTATTTTCTGAATAGATTAACCACATTTTTGGAAAAAAAAAAATTGGGACATGAAAGTGTGTGTTTTTGCAGTCAGTGAGCTGAAGCGGACACTAGCTGTTCATAAACAAAAAAATAGTTCAACAAATTGGGAACATATTCGAGAATTTGAAAATAATTTTATGGTGGTCGCCACTTTGTTAAGAACTCCCAGTAACAATTATGTTTGTACGAAGTTGTAAAAGAATAAATATCCCTTGAAAATTGTTCACGTTGGGCGCCATTTTGTTTAAAGTTGCAAGTAATAATAATGAAAAGATTCTACGCAAATATCTCAACTTGGGCGTTAAACGTTTCTGGTAGCTGACGTATAACCATTCTATGTAAATTTTTCACGTTGGGCGGCACTTTGTTAAAATCTCCAAATGACAATGTTGCAATGATTCTGAAGTATATGTAAAAGGCAGAAGGAGTATCCTCTGTTAATTTCTCAACTTGAGCTCCACTTTTTAGTTATACATATTCAGACTTAAAAGTTCCAATGAAAAACTTGTAAATTTTTGATTTAAAAATTACATGTCAGAAATTTTAGCTCATGAAAGCCTAACCACTTTCTAATTGTTATGTTAGGCGCCACTTTTAACTGGGTTCTGAATGAAAACCTCATAGAATTTTTTCTTAGTAAAACTCTTTGAAATTAATCCACAAATTGAATTTATCCACAAATGCGTTAGGAATAAAATTTTTAAAATGGTTTAAAGATTTTCAATTTTATGTCGGAATTTTGGTCCTTCGAAACGAAAAAAAATATATATTTGCACTAACCTGTTTTCTAAATTAATTTTTTTTGTTTTTACATCTTCGACTGTCAAGGGAAATTAAGGCTTTGTTTATCTTTGAAAAATATATTCACACTTTTGAAGTTGTTGATGTTGGGCGCCACTTTAATTTGAATTTAATTGCGAAAATATATCTTTGTTTATTCTTTTTTATAACCTCCACCATAGTATGGAGGGTATATTAGGTTTTACATTCCATTTGTAACACCTCGAAATATACATTTTAGACCCCACAATGTATGTATATTCTTGATCAGCATAAAATTCTATGTCCGCTTGGCCGTCTATCCGTCTGTGGAAATAACTGTAAATTCCGAACGAAATAATGTAGGTTGATAAAATTTAACTCAAATTTATATTATGTCTGCAGGACTTTTCGTATTGAAAATGGGCCAAGTATGGTATCTTCCTTTTTCGATATTTTGGTGATTTAAGCTACATTATTCACCGGAAATGTTTGGCATTTGAAGTTCACAACGGATGGTACAGCCTAAGACAGAAAATTGTCTGTGCAGGTCCAAGTCTTCGTATAGCCCTCATACAACTGTACTTCCCGATATTCGGTATTTTGATGATTTTAACTACATTATTCACGGATTTTTTTTTTAAGTTTCGCATTTGAATATTGTAGTGGCTTATGTTAAAAGTTGCCTATGCAGGTTCACGTCGTCGTATAGATGACGTTATATAACGGCAGCATTCGGTATTTTTAAGACTTTAACAAAATTTTAAGATTTTAACATTTTGAGAGCAAAATCTTGGTCCTTCGAGCCGCAGAAATGTTCTTATTTTTTAACTTCCTGTATTCTATTTCAAGTTTTTGAATAATATTTTACGTTTAAACACATGTCATTGACAAGGAAAAGATATTCAAGTATTTTTACTGTAGGACAAGTACAATCGGGTGCAAAATGTTAACTAAGCCTCTAACGGGAAGCAAAACATTTGATTTTTTCTAAAGAGAATATTTAATTTCTTCCAAATTGACGAAAATTTGAATCTTGCAAAAACTCTAAGTAATAATTTTGGTCCTTCGACCCAAAATAAAAATAACGTAAACGTTATTTTAGGAACGCTATTTAAATAGGAGAGGTGTAACCAATCTGTAACATTTTTACGTTGGGCGCCAGTTTTGATCTGGCACATATTTAGATCAACTAAATTTATTGCGTAATATTATAACAAGGCATGAGAATGCCAATGAAACCTGAGATTTGGATTTCACAACTTATAAAAATAAAAGTTAAATTAAAAAATGTTTGTCCTTCGATCAATTTTTATGGTTACCCTTACTTGGTTTAATTGTCAAGTCTTTGTTTACTTTTGGTTTGAAACGTTTAATTTTTTGTAAATTTACTCTAAAACCCCAACTAGGAAATCGAAAGAGGGAAAATTTTGAAGCACTGCATCTCTTAAAACCCCACATCCACGAATTTTGTTGTTTTTTTTGTGCCTCTGACACTGAGTCTGTTGGGTTTCCGAAAACCAGTTTAACTATTTTATTTTTTCATTATAGTTTAATTTGCATTTCTACAAACAACAAAAAACGTCATAGATATTTCTTGTAGTTGTTGCTATTTATCATTGATTTGTGAATATTCAAATAGCCAACAACCTGTTCACCCTGTGCTGTACTACGATTTTGTGGGCTGTGGGCTCGCTGTGATCCACAAATGAAAGTTTAACAATGGAAATCCATTAAATTCAGAAAAAAAAAACAAAAGGGTTTCAACAACAACACAATTTGTTATAAATATTAATGTGAATTTAATTACTTTATTTAAACAATAAATTTTTGGTAATAAAATAGAGGTGGTTATGACGGGGGGTTAGAAGTTGAGATTGAATTGGATTAATTGAATTGAATTCAATTTTTTAAGATTTCGATTGTTTGGAGTTTCTATAAGTCAGTCTTTGAATAGAAAGGTGTTTTAGGTAGTTGCTTCCTGAAAATCGCTTTTGTTTGAAGTTTGGAACTCATTGTGGATTTGCAGTTTCTCTTTAAACTAGGGATCGATTTAAAAGAAACTAGGATTCGACTACTGAAAAATGGTTCCCGAGTTTTAAAGTAATTTTGTCGCCTTTTCCTTATCCTCATAGAATTCCCAGATTACGTAGAATTCCCCAGCTCACAGCCTTACCGAAACGTGGTAATAAAAATGGGCTATATAGGTACAAGTTTAGGTATATCCTCATATATCTTTACCTCCCTACATTCGGTATTTTGATGATTTCAGCCACATTATTATCCGGAATTGTTTCAAATTTCGTATTTGAAGTTCGCAACGGATACCACAGCCTGTGACAGAAAATTGTATATTTAGGCTTAAGTCTTCGTATGGCTCATATATATCCGTACCTCCTCATATTCGATATTTCGACGATTTTAGCGACATTTTTCACCGGATTTGTTTGAAAATTCATATTTAAAGTTCCTCATGGGTACTACAGCCTGTGACAGAAAATTGTCTATGCAGGTCCTGGACTTCGTATAGTCCCCATACAATGGTACCTCCATATGTTCGGTATTTTGAGGATTTTAGCG